GTGGAAAACAGGTCAAAGGATTAAACTTGATGTGTCATTGTTACCAACATGTAGACGTGGCATAAAAACGAAGGCAGTATTAACTGGTCCTCACAGTGTTCGCCTTATTTTATTGGGGTTTGTTTTCCCCCCCCAATCGGTCGCAATCACAGATCAGTGCATCCGCTCACAATTTATAAACGAGCTCATCGTCAAGAAATTAAACTGCGGGGAGAGCATGTCTGTCCTGTTCCTGGGTGACTAAAATAAAAATAAAACGGCACCAATGAGACCACAGTGCTGTTCCTGTTTAAAGGATCTAACAGGCTGTCCCCACTGGACACCATCACCAGCGCCTGCGCAAACAGCCCCCCCACTCCCACCCAATTCCCTGCTCCCGCTCTGCTTCCAGAGGCTGGGCTCGGCTCCCTGTCAGCTGCCGGGACACATGGGCCCGGAATCCGCTGCCCAGTTAAATCTGGAGTGGAGCGGGAACAGTACACCAAGTATTCTTTGGAAACAAAATGCACAAAAAAAGCCAAAACAAATGACAGCTGTTAAGACATAAATGACAGTCTGCTCGACGGCCCCACCCTCAGAGAAAGGCGTGCAGCTGCTCCCGTCCGGGCCCCGAGCCCAGAGCGGTTCTGAGGGCTGGGCAGCGGACAGCCGAGAGCCAACTCCGGCCGCTGGGACGGCAGTGTCAGGAGGCAGGAGGGAGAGACCGTGCACACGTCCATGCCAGCGCAGCAAGGGCTGGAGAGGGTCATGATCCCCGACCCGCCAGCGCCCAGGGCAGAGACAGACCACCGCCAGCCAGGCCTCACCACCCCCCTGCGCGGGCACTCACCTTCGTTTTCCTGTAGTCGCACAGGTACTCCACCTCGAAGTCATTGAAGTTCTTCTTGGTGATGCCCAGCTCCTTGCAGGCCACCCTCTCTAGCCGGCACAGGGTCTGCAGCTGGCTCCACGAGGACTTGCACGCCACGCGGCACCCTGCGCACGAGCAAGGACAGCGGGTCAGCCCCCGGGCACCACACGCACCCCTCCAGCTCGTCACGCCCTCCCCCGGGCGCCCCAAGACCACCGCCCTCTGCGCTGTGCCCTTCACAGCTGGCAGGACGTCTGAACGAGTGCAGAGCGATTTTCCACAAACCTGCGGAAGGAACACTCGGGGACTAATCAGCTGCCGGACTCCAGACGGTGATGCTCTGTAGGTGCAAACTCACCTTCATCAGAAACACAATTTAGACTCCTCACCGTGTGATACTGTAGACACAGGGGTGATCTGCTCGCTAGAGTTATAGCTTAGGTTGTGAGAAATACTCGGAAAGATCAGTCAGAGCTTCCTTAAAGCCCCCTGAAACTCGAACCGTGTCTGCAGCCGAGGCAACCTTCCCTAGCAACCAAGACAGCACTGAGCTTTTATTCTGGGGGAAAAAACAAGGGCTTCAAATCAGGAGAGCCGAGTCTGAGCCTTTCCCTGCCACACAACAACTCTGGGAAGATAATTTCTCCTGCCTGCACGACTCGAGCACCTTCGATCAACCACTGCGCTTATTTTCTCATTGCCAGCGCAGACACGGCGGCCCTGAGCATCAACAGAGAAGCCAAATCCAGGCATAAGTAGCACTGACCTGCGCCCCTGCGTCACCCACATCACGGTCACCGACTGGCCTCACCGCACCCGACGCCAAGGAAGCACCGGGGCCGAATCGCACACACCAGTATCTCATGCTTAGCAACACTGATGATCACGGACAACCAAGCTTATTTTTACATTTTAAAAAGTGAGAGAGAACCTGAACACTCTACCACGCAATGTGGCGGTGTGCTTTACCCCGCTGAATATTTTATTCAGGAATGTCAGAAACTGCTGTTAGACTCAAGAGCAACCGAAGGTCTCAGCTGCCTTATCCCGCTCTGTTATGCGGCGGACAGCGGTGGGGTCCGGGCACGGTGAGGGATACGTGTGCCCCCTGTGCTGCAGCCAGTCAGCTGGGGCTCTTGTCGCCAGGAGCGGGGAGACGTTTCCTAACAGACCCCACCGGCGCCCGCGGCTTCACGGGCGACACCGAGCCCCGAGAGCTGCCGCAGGACACAGCCCTCTGCTGCGAGTCGGAGGCGCCACGGATCGGCCGAGCGCCGCGCACCCCCGTGTGGTCCCACAGCCCGGGGAGAGAGGCGAGGACGCGCGTCGGAGCCACCGGGACCGTCTCCGGACCGCAGACGGCCATCTGCGGAGCTCCTGCCCGGGCAACCGAGTGCTCCCCCCACCGCGATGGGGGACCCGGGGAGGGGGGGCACCCCGCACAGCAGGCTGCCGGGGGTGGGGGGGTTCCCGGAAGGGCCCCGGGGTCCCCCGGCTCGCGCCCCTCCGGCCGGGGGTTTAAACGGATCCCCCCCCCCAGAGCGAGCGAGCGCAGCGCCGCCCGGCCGCCCCTCCCGACAGGACCCGCCGGGGACACGGCCCGGCCCGGAGAGCCCCCGCCGAGCGGCGGCGAGCATCCGCCGCCTTTTTCGCGCAGGGGGCGACGCGAAAACTTTCTTACCTTTCAAATTTTCCGCCATCTTCTTCCCCGCCGCCAAAAATCTGCCTGCTTAGGCAGGGGCAGGGGGCGCACACGGCGGACGGCTCTCCGACTGGCTACAGCGCTCCACAAATGACACCCGGCGCAGCCAATGAGCGCCACCACTCCCCCCCCTAGGCACGTCCAGAGAGGGGCAAAAGCGATAGCGGACCGGAGCGATTGGAAAGCGAGTCTTTTGACTGAGCCGCGTCTTTTGACTGAGACCGCAGGCAGCGCTCGCTCACCAGTCACGCCGCCGAGCGCCCTCGCGAGCCGCCCTCCTATTGGCCAGGCCCGCAGAGGCGGGAGATCGCCGCTGCGCCGGGGTTAACGGTCAGGGATTTAAGCACACCGCCCCCAGCGATTGGCCGGCGCGGGCGTGAGTGGCGTCCACATCGAGCAATCGCCGTCAGGCGGGGGGAGGGGACAGGGCGGCGAGCGAGCGCGGTGATTGGCCAGGGGCACGCATGCCCAGGGACGGGGATCGCGCTGAGTTGTGGGTCTGGTGGTTGGTTTCAAATCAGCAGCGCGCTTCCGGTTTTATGGAAAGAATGTTACTGAGCTGCGCCGAGTCGTGTTTATCAATTGTCATACAAGGCTCGCTAATGTTTCTATTTTTAACCATTTGGGATGCCCTACGGTGTCTGTCAGTTAGACCGCATAGCGTAAATAATGGCTTTTTACTTAACTAGGTATTCTCTTACATTTGCCATTTATCATTGGAAGATTCATGTGAGCGAAAACCAATACCTCCAGCTCGACACATATTCTGTGTGCTCACATATCTCATCACTTTTCACCGTTAATAAAAATTCTGTCCTGCACCGTCAGTGACACCTCTGTGTGTCCGGAGCCGATTTCCTGTGTGAGTTTCGTGTTGGCGTTGGCCGCAAAGCACTGAAAGCAGTAAAGGTTTCGGTTTCCTTAAACGTGTGTGAGATACACGTAGCGTTGGTCACCCCGCTCAGTTTACCAAACACATACCTAATAGGAATCAAAGAGATTGTTTCAGTTTTATGTGGGTTGTTTCAAAGTCGTGTCACGGATTGGGTGACTCCTATAGGATTTACTTTTGCTTTGTAGACGACTACGCCACCTAACAATTCTAAAGGGTGCTAAGACCCTTCTCCTGCCACAAGTCCTGCTCGTCTCCCAGAATCCCCAGCGAATACACACAGACCAGCAACAGGCACTTCATTTCCTAGTGATCACAACAACTCTCACAGCACATTGTACAAAACCATAGCGTGATGGGGGTGGGAGGAGGCAGACCAGAGGCAAGCACACAATTTACACCTCAGTCACCCAACAAAAGTCCCAAGACACTGCAGTCCAGCTGTTCTGTCCTCTGTGTAGTTCCTTCGGTGATTCTCAGGCATCGTCTCCGGTCCTGGCAGCCCAGAACAACACGGCTCCCTCGTGCTCTCTCCCCACCTCGATTTCTCCGAGTCCAGGAAAAATTGAATGGGCTCCCATTAAATTGTCAACAGTGGAAAATACTTTCAAAAGGCATCCAGTGTGTAAAAGCTGTACGGTTTAGTTCTCTCTAGCCATGTACTGATGGTGACAGTGCAGAGCCTGTCAGGTCTTTCTCTTGTGTGTGTGTGCACTGTCTTGCTGCTGCAGGAGACGGCACAGGGGCAGAGGCTGTGTGGTTAGAGCCCCCAGCCGCGCAGCCTTCTGTGGCCTCAGCCTTTGCTGTCCTGCCTGCTGGGGGTCTGGGGCAGTGGCTGTCTCGGCGGCCTCTCTTCCTCCCCTGCTTCTCGTCTCTTCCTTCCCGGTGTTGTGAGGAGAGCTGGCTCAGGGTGGCACCAGTCCCCGTCACAGGGGGGTGAGTGTTATCGGACTCCGTGTTTAGTTTTGGGGGTCTGACCACTGGTCCTGGGGACCCACACACTGCCTGTTTCTCATTCCAGCCGGGTTCTCAGCACCAGAACTAAACGCTTCAGTAATAGTAACTTCACAACAGGATTCATCTGAACAATTTGAATTGTTTTCAGTTCCCAATATGCAGGTGCCTTTTACCTGTAGTGTTTTAATAGTGACGGCAGCCATAGTGCACCAGTGCTCTCACCTCACCCCAGCTCTCAGTGGGGAGGAGAGCAGAGTGATGAAGCCAGTTCAGAGATGGAGGTTATTAGGAGGCCATGATTGGGAAAGGCTAGGAGGGAATTTGTCCAGGACACTGGGGTAACAGCCCTACCCATTTCGAGAAACCCCCTCGGTTTAGTGTATTTATGCATCATTTTGCAGCTTTACCAGGTGGGATGCCATAGGAAGGATGTGAAGGATGGCCACTGCTGCAGCTGCAGTCCTGCTCGGGGTCACACGAGTCCGGACACCTCCAGACAGCGGATCAGTCGGGCGGAGGCCCAGGAAGTGGATCACAAGAAGAGCATCGTCGCCTTCAGTGAGACCTCTTGAAATCTTTCATAAAGTCTGCTACACGTGCCAACCACTTCCTGCACTAGGCAGAGATAAGCACTGGTGCTGAACCTCCAAAGCAAAACAGTTTCGATTCGCACCATCGCTGGCTCAGCCCAGCAGAAGGTAAGCGAAGTCTTGTTTTGTCCTCTTTTAGTTGCTTTTGCAGGTGGATTCCAAGTAGCTTGTTTTTCTAACCTCTGTAGAAGCCTTTCGCAGCCTCGTTCCCTTGCTGACAGAGGGGTATGGCGTGTGCCTGGCTGACTGGTGGCACGGCCAGGGGCCAGGGGCCAGGGGCCAGGCTGAGGCTGGATGTGTCTGATGTGTGAAACAGTCAGAAACAGCATCGCAGGCGCGAGGAAGACAGACAACAACCAGGAGCACTGCGCACAGCTGAGGTGAGACCGATCTACTTACAAGCTTTACCAAGAAACACAGC